GGGGGGGAGGGGGGCACCCCCCCTCCGCGCCCAGCCGTCCCCTTTTAGGGGGGGGAAAAGTGACCCCCGGGGAGAAGCAACTTCAAACCCACGGACCAGTGTGGGGGGGGGGGGGGGGGGGGTACTTAGGTAAATGCATTTCGTAGTCGCTAGACCATCGACCTCGTGGGGGGGGACCTGAAAAAGCGACATGCCGCCGCCGGTGTTTGGTGAACAATCAAGCAGACGTACTACACCTCGGACACGTGAAAAGACAAGCAAGAGAGGGATGGACTAACGCAAACAGAATGCGGAGTGTCTTTTGCTCTTGATGCAGACTCACCGAAAATGCCACCTGCTTTAGTTCTTGATACAGATGACGTACTTCAGCTCTTGATACACGACCAAGAAGATGGCATACGCTAGTCAGACAGGCCACCCTACAGCGAGAACCTCTTCTCTTGCTTCAACCCGAGGCTCGCTCCTTCATCCCTCCGTGGGATAACTCTGACCCTACCCCAACATCAACCTATTTCTATTATTAGGGTGAGGGTGGGATTTACGACTCCCAACATCTCGACTAAATACTAGGTAAGGGCGGGATTCAAGGTCTATTCCCCAACATCGAAATATCTCAGGTAGCAGTGTTGTCCAAGTTCTCCTCTTCCTAGTCAATTCGCCTCTCAAGATCCGTACCTCAACACACCGGGTCACGAACACAGGCGAGCTCGACAAGGAACAAGCGATACCATACCACGAGGTAGTCAACAAAGAACGGCTTTCATGGCTACTGTACTTCGAAGTACTGTACAGAAACAGCGAACGGCACATCGCGCAGCAGTACGGCCCACACGCGGAAAGGACAACATCTGTAGTGCCCAAGCTCACTATTTAGGCCCAGACGCAAGGGGCAGGGGTGGGTATACACGCCAGAAGAGGGGGGGAAAGGAGGGAAAAATAATGCGCTCGGCACGGGCAAGTCTGTCGCGGAAATTGAAGGAGTTTTCGTCCCCCGACCTGACAGAGATAAAACATAAAAAAGGGGCACCTGAAACTCGGTTGGTGACATGGCAGGTGTGGCCGATAACCATGAAAGGGTCTCAAGCGATTTCACACGTGCTAGAAATCGTCCCCAACCCCCCCGCATTTTCATTTTCTTCCCACAAAAAAAAACCCAAGAGAAGGAGCGGGGGGGGGGGGGGCTGACAAAAATTCGCTGCAACATGTTCCAAACGGCACCGCAGAATGATTTCACAGGTCAATCGCCGTCGAGAGTGACCAACGCTGCACCCTGACAAACCGTTTCACATCACAAAAGGGGGAAAGCTTATTGGGTACTCGTCTTCTTTGAGCCACTTTCAACATTTGGTCCGTTGGTCAGTTTTGACACAGCTCTTGCATTACGCCTGAGAGAGACAAAGAGGCCTCCTATCTACACGCGTGAGGGGCGCGTTGTAGTAGTAAACGAGAGGCGTGTGGGGGGGGTCCCTTGAGTCCCAAACTTTGGCTGTTGTCTCTGCTGCTACGTTCGCGACTTTCCGCAAGAGTCTGGGAGATGGCACCCCCGTGTTATTTAGCGTTTTTTTGTAGCGTATTGCTCCACAACTAGGAGGAGCCGAACAGCAACCGATACCTCTCAGGAAAGCCCTCGACGATATGTTTCCAAAACTACTACCCTTTCGGCAGTGGTACAATACCCCCCCCCCAGGTTGTGAAGAAATACACGCTACAAAAGAGACGCTCTGCAGTAAAACACGGGGGTGCCATCTCCGACATTTACAGAAAGGAGGAAGCCGATCCAACTAAATCTACACCAACACCACCGCTGCGTGAGGGAAGTTGCCCGTGAGGGGACAGGAGGAAAAGGGCAGCGGAGGAGCAAAGTAGAGTCGGCGTTATCTATCGCGGTACCCCGAGAGGAAAGTCACAAAAAATGACACAAATTTTCGTCCTCGACGGAATAAAAAAACATCCACTGGGAGGGATGCTCCTCCTGTGCACTTTAATATGCACCCGAGATCCATGTCGTGCCTCCGTTCCGTCAAGCATGGGTTTTTCCTACCGAACTATCTACCATCATCGATCAGAGGAGGGCGGCGGGGTGATCTAGTTGCCAGCACGCGAAAGCACACAGGTGTACAATAGTATTAGACAAAATAATCCAGACTACGCGAGGCGGGCATTCCGCCTCCGCGCTTGGTGAGCTCGTTGTTGCACATGTCGCGAAATCATGTCTTCACGCAGCAACTCGGTACTTGACCAGACCACGTGTATGCAAACAGCGCTGTAATAGTAGAATGTCCCGCAAAAACTCTACCAGCGGGGATTCCGACGTACAAACTGCCTCCCTCGAAGCCTCCGGCTATATACTTGCGCAACCCCTTGTCCCTCACTCGATCCTTGCGGGAAATATTCAGCAGGGAATAAGCGCCAGGCTATACTGAGTGGTGGGGTAGAAGTCCATCTATTCGAAAAATATTCGAACCCTCAATCCCGTTGGCTATGAGCTCCTCGCCAATGGTGGCGCAATCTGTTCTGTAATCGAAATTTCTCTGCACGGGTTTTTAGTCACCCCGCTCAACAGAACCCCCCCACTCCCCGTCTGCGAGGAGACCCTCCTGCAAGGGTGGGGGAGGGGTTACATTTTCTCACGATATCGCGACTTGCGGAACCCCCACCGCCGAAATCGATGTAACTGTCACGGTCGGGGGAGGGGGGGGGGGCTACTACCCTGGTGTTGAACAACCGGGACCGGTATCATGGGACAGAAGACGTGCATCGCTTCGGCCAGGATCACCGAATACTCTTATCAATACATCCACGATACACGTGCTCAGTTAGAGGTGAAGGTCCCGATACAGCAACGCCGATGCTTTCGGCCGACACAGCCTGCGCTACAGCATCAAGTAGTTCGGCGCTTTGAATAGTCCCTGTGTCCGGTACAGTGCCGGTCAAGCCTCTGGGCACATACCGGCACGATATGGGGACATCTACTACTGCTGTGTGTTGCTCATCGGTCGGGCGATGGGCTGCTGCTAAAAAAACGGTTTCGCCAGCTACGCCAATTGGTACATACCAAGGTGAGGATGTATGACCGTCGTTTTTTTGCGGCAGGCTTCCGCTTGCTCGACGTCAACGGAGAAACTAAATTACAGAAATGAAGAGATGTTTTTTGTACTCACCACCAGCTGGCATCACTGATGTAAATCATCAGTGTATAGACTTAAAAGACTCGAAATAAGCCCAGAACCCAGCAGGTTTTCCTCCACTCACGGAAAAGACTCCAACACATCCCGTTCAAATGTGGGTATATCTCGAATGGGGTAGTTTTTCTGTGCGTGTATTTATTTTTCCTCACGAGAAGTGACAGGCGTACATTGCGTATCTTGGGACAGACATTTTCTTCCTCGCCTTCTGAAAGAAACGAGGAAATCGGGATAACCTGTGTCGTCAAAAATCTTCTTCCGCGCTAAGCCGACGCAACCTCGACGCGATGAAATCTCAGGAATCCTGGATCAGAGCCAGATGTTTCACCAGCGTAAATAAGCGAAATGATTCGAAAATTGTCATTCGGGGGTCTTGGAGTCTGGACGACGCGTGGGCCGTTAGAGGTTGGAGAATGTCACAGCTGGCTGCCAGTTTGTCGACCTTAGAAAACACGAAAAACACCACAGCTATTTAGGAAGCGGCAAGCTGTTGATTTTAGCGTGCGGTTGGTGTTGAGATTCCGAGTCAGCTGCACCCCCAAAATCGCCTCTATCAGCAACCCAAGACAGGGGGGAGAGGGCGGCACAAGTCGCTACAACCCATATTTTTGGGCCATTACCTCTTCATGGCACCGATGAACCCACTGTGGAGATAGCCTTGTACAACAGAAAATTTACAATTCTAGCTCGAAATCGAAGCGTACAAAATAGTGTTGTTACTTGCCATGTACTAAAAAGTGTCTTGGTTGTGTTTTTTTTTATGTTTACACTACTGCTGTATTATGTATACTACAACTATAAGGTTGTAGGTTTGTGCATTGACCTCCCATGCTCGCGCCCGAAAGCACGGCGGCGTCAATGAATACTTGGACCGCCGGCAACAAATACAATACTTGAAACATAAAAAGTACCAAGTATCGAATAATCTGACATGTCTGCTGTCGGCTTCGACCTAGTGGAACAGCAGTACAATGAACGCACGCATCGGAATAAACACGAGCCTTAGATTCGGCGCGCAATTTGTACAGGTCCTTCCCTGTATGCAAAGCATATGCATCAGGCTTGAATGCGCAGTGGCAATAATTCACCACGCTCGGCAACCCGCACCCCTACATCTACTGCTGTAAGAATGGACTTTTAACAATGGTTTTTTTGGGGCCTACCAGTGTGAGAGCCATCACAGAGAACGGCACAAAAAAACTTGAGCTTCTCGGTACATCAAAATTTACCGCCTAAAGTATAGAAAAAGTAGGAAGAACTCCAACCTTGCAACTTGTTACTTATATAATAGACCGCACAAACCCAAGGTCCCGCAGCACCTGCCGTTTCTGGCCACATTTCTGGGCCACACACCCGAGAAGGGAGGGAGCGAGCGAGAGAGGGACGCAACAAGAACCGCGCACAAGCGAAGCAGGCGCCCACCGGCACCCACACGACCGCGCGCGTAGATTATGCCATGTTTTGGAACAATACTGCTGATGTTCCGAACGGCAGCAAACCTACTTTTACTGCGAGTGCCGATGCGGCTCTGGCTATCTACGTATCAGCGCGGCGACTTGGTTCCCCGCTAGACACACCGAAGGGCGTCAGTTCCTCTCCCCCGCCTGGTGCATTCGCTTCTGGTGTGCGATATGCTTCTTTTATGTACGCATGTTCCCGGCGCGAAGAAGGATGCGCGTTTTCCTCGTATTCCGAAAATTCACACTCATTATTACTCCACATACACAGCACTTCAGTAGTTCATTAATATGTGATACATATTATAATATCGAACGCAACAACGATTCTCGGGTTCACCACATAAAAAAAGTAAAAAACTTCCTTCGGTGGTGCCGTCTCCAGCAGCGACCATGCACCAACTCGAGGACGGCATGGGGACTGCTTGTTCTCAGCTCTCGCACACGCACGCGCGCGCGAGAGAGAAAGAGAGAGAGAGAGAGAGAGAGAGGTTACTCACGTGGTCGGACACAGGAGGAGCGGACGTCGACCTCTGCAACATGGCACCCGCGAACGCATGGTCCACGTTGTTGCTGCTGCTGCCGCCGCTGTCTGCCCCCGCCGCCGCACTACCAGCAAAGCCATCGCCGGCACCTAGCCACCCCCCTCCTCCACCCCTGGCACCTTCCGCCCCCGGAGCGCTGCCCGTCACGACGGTTGCGCCAGCGAGAAACGCTGCTGCTGCAGCGCTGCTAGCAGCGGTTTCTCCGGGGGGAGAAGAGGAGGTAGTAGGCTTGTCGACGTCGAAGCCGGGGGATCGCGAGCGGCCGCTGGGAAGGCCGCCATTGGAGGACGATGTCGCCATGGCCGTGCTGCTGCCGAACGCCGCGGCAGCCACCTGTGTTGTTCGTGTTTGAGTCGCGGGCGGCCATACTCAGACGTGTGTCTTATGTGTTTGGTTCGCGGTGTTCGCACACGTACGGCTGCTGCCGTGCATGGACTCTCTGCTGCTTTCTGCCGTGGGAGGAGAAAAAGAAATCTCGGCCCATCAAGGAGCGGCGAAATCAGGCCGCAAAAATAAAACATGGATATATATGCATGCAGGAACCGTCTGGCGTGTTTCCCGCGAACTGAGCGGGGTTCATATGCGCACGGGGTCTCTGCTAGTGCCTGGGGTGGACGGGGGGAGGGCAGACAAGACCGCGTACAGCTTGTGTTCACAGGCTTGGTCGGGAAAAACATGACGAACAACAACGAACATAGACGATATTTTGTCGTGATTTGTGTGTGGCCAGCAAAAAAGTGTGCGTGTGTGCGCAGCTCGTACGGGTCTGTGCGTCCACGCTGTACGGGCTTGAAGCAACACGGACCCAGGCTAACCAGCCAAGGGCCTGTGGGGCTGGCCACGAGAGCGACTCCCTCTCAAAGATGTGTCGCATCCCACGTTACATGTGTGAGTATTTTCCACGAGAAATTAATCGGATGGTATTGAGACGAAAGGTGCTGTATGATAAAAGAGAGGAGAAGCGATGAGCCATTTGATGCGCCAACCACACACGGCAGCAGCAGCAGCAGCAGCAGAGTCGAGCCGAGAAAACGCAACACGGGAGCTGCTGCTGCAGGCGACCAAGCAGAAGGGCTCGGCTCGCGATTCACGCCTCAGTGTCTCGCTGCGTCCGTACTCACCGGTGGAGAGGAAGAAACCGTCGAGTCGCCCGCGGCGCTCTTGTCGCCAGCGCTCAGGCCGCTGCCCAGGCCGTGACCGCCTCCGATCACGTTGATGTTCATATTGAGGTGCGACACCCCCACGTCCACGGCGCCCGTGGCTCCCCGAGAGCCGTCCATATTTCGGCTAGCCTGCTTTCTTCCCTGCTGGAAGCCACGCCTGGATGCGTGTGTAAGTCTGGGATGTGTAGACACACAGCGAGGACGCACAGAACTGACTGCTGAGATTAGTTCGTCTTTTGATTTTCAAAGGCGCAAACAAGAGGCCGGCTACAAAGCGGAGAGAGCCAGCGGCGAGTGGCGGCGGGTGGGGTATGAATGTGCGGGGGGCCCCGTGGTTGTTGTATTTCCTTCCGATATCTTGATCTTGATACTACATGTATCTTCCTTTTCTTCTGTCTTGGGCCGATAGAGCCTATCCTCACAGCCCACACACACAGCAGCGGAAGCAGACGGTCACATCTTATCAGCTGACACCCGGTGTGAGCGGTTGTCCAACAGTTTAAACCGCTGCACTTCTGTCTATACGCGCGCGTCTTGTTCTAGCAGCACACACAGCGGTAACCAGGCTTTTCGTCCACGGCCACCGCTCGGACAGATTTCCCCCACAGACGTACACACCTGTCCCTGTTGGTGCTCTGGCTGGATACCGCCGTACGTAGGCGACGTAGACCACAGCACCACACGTGCATGTATGTGTGCATGTACAGCCAGTTTGGCGTGACGCTGAATGTATGTGCACGGCTATTATTGTTCGATAGTTGTACGAAAAAAGAACGAAGAACATCGTCAGTAGGGGTGCTGCTGGAAGAAGAAATAGCACGCACGACATAGGCCCAATTTCCAGCCGGTTTCCCCCGCCTCCCACTCACTCATAGACAAGACGTCAGCACCCATTTCGACTGTATGGTTATATATATCTCGAACGTTGTCTCTCTGTATGTTTCTGTATATTTTCATAATAATTAAGGTAGCAGCTGGTAGCAAGAAGTGAGGCTGCGTACAACAACAACAGCAGCAAGTAGAGTAATGCTTACGCTTTCTTCGTTATTACGGAATGTTCAAATTGGAATTCATCACTAAGTACACATATACATATGCAGGAGGACGCACGCGAGAGAATACTACAGTACCACAGGTACATACATATATGCGTTCATATGCATAGCTTGTCCCATACAGCAAGCAATGGAGTCAGGTCGTAAAATAAATCGTGCACCTCCAAGTTGCGGCGAGTTGGGATGGAGATTACTATTATAATAATAATAGTGATCCCGCCCTTCCTTTGATAGATTGTTCGATGCTCTGCGCTAGATTAGATGTGAATTGAAGAACAGAAAATCGGCGAACAACTTGTACTACTATTATTATTCTCATCGGACACCTAGGTACACCTTCCTGTGGTAACGGCCCGCTCGTGACAAGGCTCGAAGCTTTCAGCAGGAGGATCTCATCGACTGAGCAGAGGCCAAATATGCCAAGCTATTACGCTGCATACTCTATATGGCGCCGGCGGCTGAGCCCGTTTCTCTCGCCTTTTTTCTTATTCTCGAGCATTTATTTTTTTTTACCGTCGATTTCTTGTCCGCATTACACTCCCTCCTTGTCTCCTCCGACGAAACAAAACGTTAACGTTTCTGCCCGCGAGCGGGCGAAAAAACGGTTGGTTGTACCTGTACCTACCTGTAGCAGGCAGACGCTGCAAGTTACAATACAAGTCAGAGGTTGCCCTCGGCCAATTTTTTCGTCCTGATATATATCTGGGACCACCACCACCCCCTTCCTCAAATGAAACCTGTGGCCAAATGCGAAATACCTTTCTTTGTTGACTCCCATGAAAGTCGTCCTGTCATCTACTATGAAGCATTGTATGCCATCTACTTCGAAGCATCCATATTGGGTACGACGCTTGTGGAATGTGTAGCGCTACTTGCGATCCCGAAGCTAGCGCGTTCGGACACTATTCATAGTGTTCGAGGGCGGGATGAGTTGCGCGCGTGGACACACATAACCAACAAATGGGGGAAACTCAGGGTCGTGTGATCAAAATCGTCAACGCTGCCCAGGTCATTCGCCATCCGGAGTCTTGCGGCCCTCGACATGGTCAAAGGTAACGTCAACATGCCACATTGATTGCTAGAACACGTGAAAAAACAGAAGATATCATCAATCCTACGCTTCTTGTGCGGACACATGATATCGACGACGAGATCACCCTCGCTCGTTGAAACGACGAACCTTTTCACAACGAGCAATAGCACAGGGGTGGCTATGGGCCTCAGGGGTTGGAGTAAACGACACACGTGCTGTGAGCGCTGATTTGAAGTAAAGACAAGAAGAAAAAAAAACAGCGCATCTCCTCCATCTCCAGTGTTGTTACTGCAGCAAAGATAAAAAAAAACGCAAATGACTGTGCCATCGATCGGGGGGAGGTGGGGGGAGAGAGAAAAGATAATGAAAGAAAACTCATTCCCACACTACATATAGCAAGGCGGCCATCTGTACACAAACGTTCCCCCCATCTATTTTCGAGATAGCTCTACTGTACCACGACACCTTGCACCACAGACGCTTTGCAGCAGGCGCACTGCATCCCCCCTCAATGACTTCCCACGACAGGGTGACAAGCAAAAAGAAGACAATGACGCGAAGACCGCGCATAACGATGGGACCCAATAAAGGCTTCAGAACAAAACAAACTCCAGAACCACTACCAATTAACACAATACACCCCATCGCCCGTACGTGTACTCCCTCTTTTTCTGTACAACAGAGGACACTATCAACGGTTACAGAAATCAGACGTCAACGGTTCCTCCCCCCCCGCCGCCGCCACCGCCACCGCCACCGCCGTTGTTCGCTCTAGGCATGTTTCGCCAGTCAAGCCCGGTTGTTCTCCCTGCCCCATCGACGGCCGCCCCCCCCCACGCTGCTGTCATCGCACCCCCGTAGCCCCCACCGTTCGAAACCGCGCCGGTTTGGGTCCCCCCCCCCGCTGATGCGCGTCGCCAGGCGGGTACGCCGACGCTGTTGCCGCCGGAGGGAACAACGTTGTTCCCGATCAAGCCTTTTCGGCCACGAGAGGAAGAGGGGGCGGGGGCGGCGGCGGGACTCAGCGCGGCGACGGACGCAGCGCGATCGGGGGGTATGCCCGTCACGCAGTACTCCGCGGCGAGGTTGGTGTCGTAGCCAGACGCTCTCAACGCCAGTCTCGCCGCGTCCTGCGAAAACAAGACCGTTGAACGGCGATGGCAAGGGTGAGTACGTGGTGCATGGGGGAGGGGGGGCAGGGTGGGCAAACAAAAACAGAGCACCTTCGTCAAGGATGGAGCATCTGTAGTGCGCGACTTTTAACGCTCGCTAGTCTCGCCGCAAAGACCGTTGAGCGGCGATGGCAAGGGCGGGTACGTGGTGCATGCGCGCAAAAGGAGGGCCAGGGGTCAAGGGGGGGTAAGGCAGGGTTATCACACGATAAACAAAGCACGTGGTACGTCAAGGTTGGAGGCTCTGTAGTGCGCGAACTCTTCAGACGCTGACCGCATGAATCCCTCCCTCCTTCCCTCCTTCCTTCCCTCCCTGCCCCCATCCACTTTGTTTCGGGGGTGACCCATGATCAATACTCAGATTAACCTAAGAAACGAAAAAGTACTCCTCCCTCCCCCCCGCTCCCGGCTTTGTGGGGGTGCGAGGTCGAGGGTCTAACGTCTGCAGCATGCACACGGCTATGCGTACACCATCCTGCACTCAGGGTTAGGGTTAGGGTTAGGGGTTAGGGTTAGGGTTAGGGGCTAGGGTTAGGGTTAGGGTTAGGCTTACCTCTGCAAACCCCATGTCCTGCAAAGCCTGGACCTGGATCTCCACCGGACTCCCCGGCACCGCCTTCGGCACCGCCGCCGCAGCCGCCGTGTTTCCACCACCCCCTGGCCACCATCCTCGGCCCCTCCCCTGAGCAGCCGAAGCCCCTCCGCCGTAGTTGTTGTAGCCGTTGGATTGCTGTGGGCCGAATCTTCCCTCGTGCTCTTGCTGCTCTCCTCCCCCTCCGCCGATTCCGCGGAACCACGCCCCTATTCCGCCTCCTGTGTCCTCTCCCTCGCCTCCTCCTCCTCCTCCTCCTCCTCCTCCTCCTCCTCCTCCTCCTCCTCCTCCTCCTCCTCTTCCTCTGTAGTCGTTGTCGTTGCTGTGGGCGACGTAGTCTGTGTTCCTTGTGCGATTTTCCTGCGCCGCTTGCATCGCTATGGAGTACGGGTTCCACTCGGACGCCACGCTCGGGTCGTAGTTCCTGCACAGTCGTTGTCGTTGTCGTTGTTGTTGTTGCCGGCGGCGTTGTTGGTGGTGTGAAGGCGATGTGTTGGTCATCGAGCCCATAGTATGAAGGCCGTGCACAGAGGCGGGGGTGAGGCGGGATGTTGGTGGCGGCACAAAAGGTGTTATTTTTTTCATCAATGGCATCGTACACCCGGGGGGGGGGGGTGTACTCATAGTCGTGCATGCCGTAGTCGTTTGACCATTGACCTCGCATCCCTACAAAGCCGGGACGGAGCACGCCGGGTTCTCACCGGACCAGGCTCTCACATCACCAAGCGCGAAGCACCGTGAGGTATTCGGCGAGTCGCATGAAGGGTGAGCTGCATCCTGCTAATGGTGTTCGGCATCTTGTGCTTACTTCCTTGCGTACGGATGACAGCTGCGTATGACTTACATTTATTTTCTGGTGCTTTCACTTCCAGAGACAGTTATAAGCACTGTGTAACTGCCTCGAGGGTGCTTGACCAATATTAACACAACGTGGTGCGATCATCCCCCTTGCGCGGAGTGAGGGTTCTCCACCCTGCACAACATGATCTACTCGACCACCATTATGGTTACCGCCAAAAAAAAAAAACAGAGGTAAAAAAAAAAACGGAACAAACGGTAACCTGGTTGCCGAGTTCACGAAGTGAATTGGCTTCTTTTACAACGTCGTTGCCAAGTGACGAAAACCCAATCCTGATGGCAAACACCGAGGGGGGGGCTTGTTTGTTTTACAACGTCGTTGCCAAGCGACGAAAACTCAACCCCGATGGCAAACACCGGGGGGGGGGGGGCATAGAAGGTTGTGTGTGTGTGTGTGTGTGTGTGGGTACTCATGTTTCGCAGGCCTTAGCTGTTCCACTACTCCACCCGCGTCCTCCAGAGGACATTGTTCCCACAGGACCGATCACCGATGGCCAATCGTTCCTTCCTTCTTTGCCCAACTCAAAAACGTTGTCCCTATCCTACCTATCCTACCGGCGTGTGTGAGGGTGGGGTAAGCTGTTTCCGTGTCTGTGTGTTTCACGAACCGTGCTCCATTTCTTCCTCTTTCGCACAACCATCTGCACCAAGCCCCGGTGGTCTAGTTGGTAACCTCGAAACCTTCTAGAGGTCAGGTCAGGGGTTCGAATCCCGGCGTAGGCGAGCTTTTCTTGCAAAGTGAGTTTTTCTCGCGCCACCGCTCCTGGCCGAGTGGATAGCGCTAGTTCGTGTGTACACAGAGGGAAGAGAGTGCTGAACTCTTCTCGCATTAAAAATCGTAGGCAAAGTACCGCAGGAGGGGGAGGGTAGAGAGGGACTCTTCTGTGTGACCACGGGTCGGAATAAACGGCACTAGTGCTGTGAGCGCTGATTTGAAGTGAAGAAAAAAAAAAAGAGAAAAAATCATGCATCACGCTGCGCTCGCTGGACTAAAAAGAGACCAATGAATCATCAATTATTTCTACACACATACATACACCAGTCTCGCTTCAAGCCATGGCCGACTTCTCTCCTCCCCAGCAATGCAACGAAAAAAAACAAAGACGTCTCCTGGATTGCCCGATCCTCCCCCTCCTCCGACGTCAGTAAACGCGACATGGCCCCACCGTCCACCATCACTGGGACTGCTTGAGCAAAGGAACGTAAGTTTGTTCCGAAAAAAGACCTGACAGGGGGCACGCAGACACAAAACCTAACCCCACTTAGCCGATCTATTCTTTATCCGGCATGTTTGAATACCTAAAAAAAACTGCGTAGCCTATTTGGACACAAGACCAGGTAGGTGGCACGCAGGCCCTAACCCTAACGGCAACTTAGCCGATTCAATACTTTATCCAGTATGTTTGCATACTTAAAACAACCTGCGCAGACTAATGCATCGCTACACCGCACCGCACCTCAAGCCGTGTCCGACGCCATTCCCAACCCCTCCGCCCGCGTGCGCCCTTTCCGCGTAGCTCTTCCCTTGGTCCAAGGCTTCCAGGTTAAAGAACTCAACCACGTCGGGGTGCTCCCACAGCTCTGTTACCACCAGCGCCCCATTGGGAAGAGAGAGAGACACGGCACCGACAACGGGCGGAAGAGGTAGGAAATTCGTGCATTAGAGGCCAAAGCAAATACAAGCACTCCGTAATTTCCAGAATTCAGCAAGAGAAAAGCGTTCTTAGGCTTTCGGGTACTTGGTGTAATTATTTGTTGTCGGTCGCGTTGCTCCTTACCTTCGCAAACGAAAAAACCTTTCTGACCTCCCTGTTCATCCTTCTTGCCCGCAATACAGTGGGGGCCCTGTTTTGTGCCGGTTGAACGGTGCCAATGCCTGGGATAGTGTCGGTGTTTCGGGGTACACACTCTGAATTTCCAAGTCATTGTCAGTACTTTTGATTGGTTCCGGTCCGGTATGGTGCCGGTGAATTTTCTTGGCACATGCCGGCACTAAACTGGGACCCCCTCTGTATGTGTGTTTTTGTGTCCTTCACAGAGGGAGTCCCTGTTTAGTGCCGGTCGACAGTGCCGGTGCCCGGGATAGTGCCGGAGTTTCGGAGTACACACTGAATTTCCAAGTCATGGTCAACTCTTGGAAAAGTGCCGGTCCGGTTTAGTGCCAAATGAACTTGCCGGTGAATTTTCTGGGCACATACCGGCACTATTTAGTACACAGGGACCCACACTGTATCCGATACCAAGACACCACATTGGAAATTTCGGTGATCGCAGGTGCCATATTCTTACATATCGCCTTTCGGAATACGGCTCAACAATATGTTGAAAGTGTGTTCGCGAAAGAATGGCCAGGAAAAAGAGAACAAAAAAAAAGAGCTTCGGTAGAATAAGAAAGAGCCACAGGCAACAAGACAAGAACGATGAATCGAATCCATGCAGAGCGAGCGCCCTGTGCCATGCAGCAAGCTTTGTCGCGTAGGAGAGCCAAATCCAGACCAAGGCAAAATGCAATACTTTCTCTGCATCTCTCTGTCCGCCTCTATCATAGCTCACCAGGGTTCTTGTTGAACAACTGGCGTAAGAAGCTGCCCAGCTGCTCCTTCCGGTGCCTCACGAACTCGCTGTTAGCGTCGGACCTGTCGCCGAGAAAGCTCTCCTCCGTCACCACTCGCTTCCCCGGAAACTCGGGAGCGCCCTCGGACCGCACCTGCCCCTCGTGCTGTTGTTGTTGTCGTCGTCGTCGTCGTCGTCGTCGTCGTCGTCATCGTTGTTGTCGTCGTCGTTGTCGTCGCCATCGTTGTTGTCGTCGTCGTTGTCGTCGTCATCGTCGTTGTTGTTGTTGTCGTCATTGCCGTTGTTGTTGTTATTGTTATTGTTGACGTTGTTGTTGATTGGTGGTGAGCAACCACGAGAGTTGTTGGTGTTGAAGTTGTCGTCGTCGCCGTCGTCGTCGTCGTTGTTGTTGTTGTCGTTGATGTTGTTGATGACGTTTCGTCGTCGATGTTGATTGGCGGTGAGCAACCACGAGAGTTGTTGTTGTTGTTGTTGATGACGTTTCGTCGTCGATGTTGATTGGTGGTGAGCAACCACGAGAGTTGTTGTCCATGTCATCGTCGTGGTCGTCACCATTGTTTATGTCGTTGATGACGTCATTGTCGTCGTCGTCGGCGGCGGCGATGTTGTTGGTTGGTGGTGGTGAACAACCACAAGAGAAACAAGGGTCGCAAAACACCGAATGTGGGGTTGGAGGGAGGAGGGTGGGGGAATGCTGTCAACAACGCCTTGAAAGAAAAACAACACACGATTATACGAAGACTTGGGGTCAAATTTCACGTGTTCTCGACAAACGTACATGCGGACAAACACGCGATCTTTCCGGACGCACTGAATACTCCCTTGCTCCGCGGAGCACGCCTCGGGAGTACTACTACTGCTGTCGTATCGTCATGTACGTCGGTTGTTGCATGCCCAACGTTCAGCGCGCTGCTACTGCCCAAACGTTCGGCATCTACACAGCAGAGCCAAACTTGAACGTGTTTTCTTCCCCCCCACGATAACAAAACAAGAGTTTAGTTGTGCCCTTTGTTGCATCCCTCCGCAGGGAATTTACCGCCCCACCCTGCCGTGTCGGTACAACACTGTCTCAGGGGAGGGCTTGGCGTGGGTAAAAAACGAAATCAACGAATTCCGATGAGAGTGTCTTTTTCGTTGTCTGGGTGCTGCGTGCGTCGACTCCACTCCGATACAGACGTATATACCCCTACAACAGGCCGGAAGAGCACCGGCGGCAAACTGGCAGAAAACAATCATGGCAGCAAACAATGGTGGGCAGCAAACCGCCACGGCAGCAACCAGTCACAGGAGCGAAAAAATAATCATGGCAGCGAACAATCGTGGCAGCAGCCAATAATCCCAGAAAACAACCATGCAGAAAACAATAATGGCCGAACGCACAGCTCCAACGCCGCCATTTTCGGCACCGCTACTCCTTGAACTGCTGAGGACTAATCGAGCTTTGATCATCGGTCGAGGGGGTGTGGTACCTTGCGTCATGTCACGTCACCTACAAAACGTGAGGTGTTTTCGACTAAGTAAACATGTTGGACAAAGCATGCCGTCGGGGAAGTTGGGTAAGGGTTAGGGTTAGCGAGTAGGGCCTGCGTCCCCCCTCACTGTTCTATTTCCTCCTAAATTTACTAACCTCGCGAAAGCGGTCCGACTTTCTCGTGGTATGCTGAGATCGGTCGACGCATGGCCGCGGTATGCATGTATTGCATGCGGGGCAAATATGCATACGTGCCCGGACAACGGTGGCGGAGAGAGAGAGGCCATGGTATGCATACGCACTTCCGAGGGAGACAAAGGGGCACGCGCTCGCCTTCTAATCATTTTCCATTTTCTGCTAAACATACAAGTACGCATGCGATACATAAATACCGTCCGCGCGTGGGTATTTTCATTTTTCCTAAAAAATCTCCTTCACTGTTTAGATCCTGCGGTGAAACGATCGTTGGTCGTTGAACCTCACATGCTAATAAGTATACATGTGGCCACCGATTTGGGTCAGCCCGTTGCTGCACGAAAACCTCGTTTGTTGGCGTTGTCGACTTATTAGGTCGCATAGTAGTCTTTACACCCCCCGGACAGGGCCTCAAAGCTCGACTACTCTGCAGCAAAACCAGCAGGCAACGGTGCCGAAAATGGCGGGAGGTGTTGGAACTGTTTACACCCCCCGGACAGGGCCTCAAAGCTCGACTACTCTGCAGCAAAACCAGCAGGCAACGGTGCCGAAAATGGCGGGAGGTGTTGGAACTGTGTCATCGAGAGCTTTCCAAAAACGTGCCGTTCGATGTTGTACTAACTTCCTCTTCATCGTGGGGTAATCGAGCTTTGAAGTTCGGCCCAGGATGTGTGGCATCGTATATGCTCTACCAATGCTACCTACCCATTTGTACGGCAGAAAGAAGAGGACGTGACACATACAGGCATGGTGGGTTTAACGCTAAGACAACAGCAACAACGACAGCAACAAACGGTAACAACATCAACGACAGCAGCAGCAGGAGCAACAAAAACAGCAGCAGCAGCAACAACAACAACTCTCGCAAGAAACAGCGACGTACCTTGAGGTGGTTGTAGAGGCTTCGCAGTTCGCTGTACCGCTGCGCCGACACGCACGACGCCCCGTCCCTTATTCGGCTCACCCGGATTATGTAAACCACGAAGCTCGTCTTGGGCCCGATGCCTAGGTCTTTTATCCAGGCCTGGAGGTTTTCACCACGTACATGTACAGCGCGAACGAACAAGGCGCAAAAAGCAACATCCGTAGCCTGGTGTGTCTGGTAGTCTACAGGGAGGGGGTACACGCGATAGAGTGCCGTTGCAGCTCGGCTTGCCTCGGAACGAAGAGATTTTGTTGTTGTTGTTGTTGTTGTTGTTGTTGTCTTCACACAAAGAAACGTTCCGATGTCTCTATCCAGTACCTTCCTCTGTCTGTGCTGATCTACACTTGACGCGATCGATTCCGTAGTCACAGGCTAACTTGACCTTATAAAGGTACTAAAAAAACATGGACCCGAAGTGTCCGCACGCCAATAGAAATCGACGACAGATGTCAAATATGTCATGTACTGACAGACTCCCGAGCCAGGTTGGCGTTGTCGAGGGGCTGGTTGGCGCTTGTGCTCGACTCGAAACTGAACACTGCAATCAACGCCGAAACCAACCAAAAGGGTCTCTTTGACAGTAGTCAAGACTCAGTGCTTCACCTGCTTTCGAGTCTCAGCGGCCAGGACTTTGACGTCAAACTTGGCGAGGTTCTTCTCGATGGCCAGGCCTTGCCCCGTGTTCATGAGCATATTTATCTGAAAGCGAACAGAAGGGATGATCGAAAACATGAGCATATTTATCTCAAAGCGAACAGACTCGATGGACGAAACCACAAAAAAAAGGGAAAAAAACACCGGAGTATCGGGGGTTCCCCAGCAAGCATCGCCACGGCGGGGGCAGGGAGAGTTGATTATTGGTGTTGGGTGGGTGTACTCACTTAAACGCACGCCGTAGGTATTAGGCCATTGACTTCGAATCCCTACAACGCCTGGACGGAGCTACAATATATGTCGCGTTCTTACGCCGGCCCAGGCTACGTTTTACAAGGATGGTGGGAGGAGAGGGGGGGGAGAACAGAAACAATTGTGTCCGGCGTGTTTGTAGCATCGAACATGGCATCCTCAGCACCCACGTCAACAGAGTTCATGAACAATTGGTATCCTGGGATACGTGAACAGTCAACGCGGGAGTCACCCAGAGAGACAAGAGAGAGACAAAGGCACAACACGAAAAAAGCAAGAGAAAAAGCGTGCCATCGGGCGACGATCGCAGCACTACGCAAGACCGCTGCTGCCCTTGTAGGCGGCGGGGGGGATGACAGACGGAACTGTCACGAAATCGGTCGAAAGCTAGAAGGATTCGAAGCTCCTATGCACACCAACCACAACCACCGCCATTCCGCTCTCGTATTTTAGCCTCAAGGCGAGAGATGGACAATACTGCACTCTGCATCTGCTTGTAGCAGTAGTACGCCAAGCTGACATCTCAACACTGCGATTATATTGTGGTTAGGCGCGTATAACGTCACGTGATGTACAACTCGAAATCTCTCTCCACCCGCGGTCAAGAGCTGGCTTTCAAGGCTACGCGGGACGAATCTACGCATTAGCTGTTACGATGTGATCAGCCTCCGCGAGTCGACACACACAGGCCGTCGTCGACCCCAACGCCCCCGCCTAACCCTCGCGGGTGACAATAACCCGGGACACAACAAGGGGAAGAATTATGATGGGGAAGTCGGGGGAACCAAAAAGAGAGGCGACGTGACAGCAGCAGCAGTGCAGGTTCATCTCATCATCAGCATCTTCCACCTTCGATTCGTTCGTGAGTTGCTGCGGTTGGGGGGGTCCTGCACGCCAGCGGTTCGCGTCATCCGTCACGGACAGGTACACGCTGGGCGTGTACCGAGTCCCCTGCTCCGCCATCGCCCACTGCGGTGGTTTCTCCCTCCGGCTGTGTGCTGTACTCAGCAGCTCAACTTTGAACCTCGACCTGTTGGCGTCGGCAGCCGGACAAGGGCGCACAACGTATTCTCAGTTGGCGTATCTTCCCCGGGGGGGCTGTTCTTTGAAATATACAAATGAAGAGGGAGAAGAAGAGCGCGAAGCGCGTGCACGTTTGCACTCACCGATCGTCACTGCTGCCGGTATCAGCTCCGCGAGGGCACTCAAACCCACCCCTTTTCACTTCACCACAGGTTTCAGGAGGAACTGCCCACACCAGGACTGATTTTGCTGCAATGTTACTACATTCTTGCATACCTACAAGGTTGCGTCAGATACCACACCCCCTGCACAGATTTGAAAGCTCGATCGGTGTCGAGTACTCATCTGAAGCAAGCCCAGCGCTGAGCGACGGTGCCGTTGGGAACATCTTGCCGAGTGCTTACAAAACGCATGATGACTTGATTTGTCCATCCTCGTCGTCGTGGAGTTACAAGTCACGGCGAGCTCTGAAAATCGGTGTAGGGAGTGCTATCTTCCGCAACCAAAGGAAACTAAAAAGTAGCGCTTCTACTTTCTAGACGAAGTCGGCGGTTGAAACCACGGCGAACTTACTCCTCCGCACAGCGTGCTGTTGCGGGAATTTCGTCCTTACAAAAAGCGGCACTCCGTGTTGGTTTTTCACGTACCCGTCCGTGTGTGGTTTTATGCAGCGGTTGGTATATACTGCTGTACACCTAACAGCCAAGTTGACTTACATAGAACGGAATCAGTATCCATCAGAAAGTAAACAACAGGTAACATGTGAGGTGAGCCCAACCAACGGATCCGCGTTTTGTATTTGTATGCAAAATAATTACAAACACAGAAAGACTAATATAATACCCATTCGAGATTATCCGCCAGTGGAACAGGATGTTTGTATGCGTCATGGGCGACAGCAGATGGATGACGAGAACCTCCCGTTGTGTCAGTATGTGTGCTTCAGCACTACGAGTAGGGTTATAAAATAGCATATGGCCTGCGACCCGTAGTGCAGGCTGTTTCTCGCGTAGAGAAATCCATGCAGTGACAACAGCACGCTCTGTGCCTGAACTCCATCCATGTTTGTGGAGATTTTTGAAACTACATGATTCACCCACGTTTCGTGGAAATTATGTTTTTGAAGGACATGCGTTGTGCGCAACTCTTTACTCGCACGGTTTTCCCACCAAGCACGTTCTAAAAGGTGCGCAAGGTGCCTCAGCGCATCATCATGACCCTCCAAAACGAAACGTGGGCAACCGTGTCCAACTTGGGACGCCGTACCTCGTGTGTCACGGTGCTAACCATCTAAGAGGCGAAAATATAATGTGTGCGTTTTGTTCCTTTCATTTTAAAATGACTCAACGTCATCCATCCCCACCATTGAACCCGCGGCAGCACGGCCCCCAGGCACAACTACCGCAACAAAACAGCAAAAAAAAAAAAGGAACATACAGCGCTTGGAAACATGTGGAGGGACCCCGACATGTCTCCCCTCGCTGCTCTTGGCAAGAGAAGCCCCACACCCACAACAAAGCAAAAACCTCTACCCTTCCCACAGAAGTTATCTGGGACCGGGAATCAAGAAGCGAAAAATTCTGGGCTGCATTCTATGTCTAAAAATGGCTCTTCAAGTCAGCTCAGCTAGCTGCTAGACAACCTCACCCTGCTTTTTAAATATTCACACACAAGGTACACAAATCTAACAGTGTCTGCCCTCGAAACCACCCAACAGACGTTCAAGCCGGTCAGGACAAAAGAGACAAAAACGACCTCGTCAAGGGGCGTCTAATGCCCCCTACAAAGGAAAGTTTAGTTGAAGGTGTATCCCGCGCCAAGGAGGTCGTTGATCACGTACGGCTTGTTGTTCAGCTCCTCGTGCACCATCAGGGCCAGGATGCCCATCTGTGCCGCGCGCCCGTTGTTCAGCTCGATCGCGCGCTTCGACGCCTGGGTCTCCTCCGACATCGCGTCCCACGAGGACCCGAACGGGTTGCCGCCCAGGGTGAAGTCTCCAGGGAACGAGCCCTCCACGTTCTTCATCACAGCCAGCTCAAGGAAGCCGATGAACGCGAAGATCTGGGCGAGGCCCGCCGGGGGGATCTTAGACAGAGCGGCCACGCCGTTCGGCATGTCCGCGAACGACAGGTTCGCCGAGTTCGACAGCATGCCGGGGAGCCGGGTGTTCTGCTGGGTCAGGTGACCGGCGATGGCGAGCATAGCAATGCGCCCGTGCTTCACCTCCACGTACCGGAGGCGCTCGAACCGCTCCTGGTCCGCGTCCTCGAGGAGGCCGAGCGGGTCCCAGAATCCGAGGGGGGGCTGCGCGCCGATCTCCGACTCGAACGACATCTTCATGGCCGACGACGACTTGGCCGGGGTGGCCACGGCGGCGCCCTTGAACGCGCTGTGGTTTTAGATGGCAGCAGTGACAAGGCAAGGAAGGAGAGGAAAAAAGGGAAGGCGGGTCAACGATTGATTTCAACCAAGGAGGGGTTGTCTTCCAGTCTTGTGTATTTACAATTTTCCTAAAACGAACACAATGAAGAGCTCGGAGATTCTCAAGGGTCTGTAGGCATTATACGCATACAACGGACAACAATCGAGACGGATGTTGCGCGTTTACGTGGGAACGAAACGCCGGCGTGTGAACGTGTACCCATCCGCCGTGGTTCGAAGCTGCGAACTCCTTAGAGGAGTTCAAGCGAAAAAAACAAGCTGACACGCAAATTTACGGAGTCCATGCGGGCACACGATGTTCTGCTGAGAGATTGTGACAAGACTCTCGGTGCGATCACCCCACGGCATGATTTCGAGGCTGCAAACTCGGTGCAACTAGATAGCTACTGCTGGTGGTTTGTGAGTGCGGCGAAAGGACGAAGCAGTCTGAGTCGGAGGTTTGTCGAGACACGAGATCGACCCGACACCGCTGCTCGTGTGTGCCACGCCACTCGACAAAACGACAGCCATCTTGGAAAAGACAAGCATCGGACACTAATGAACTTTTGGATCTAGGGGAAAGGTGTGATGCGCAAACATCGGGTTGCGCGCCAACAAGCAGGCGCTGCCGCTGCTTCTGTGTTGCATATGTACGAACGATGACGACTGTCCTAACCGTTCCATGCTCAGTGAAACCGAGTCACCTACTGACGAGAAAATATTCAATCGTGCACGGGAGCAGGCACGCAAGTGCAGGTCTTTTCCGATCTTCCAAGCTTAAGCTTCCGACCCGCCGCGCACGACACAGGAGGAGACAACTCATGAGGGGTGGCACAACTCGAACGCCAAGACCCTTTGGTGAATAGTGCCAGCAACGAGAATGAGCGCGTCGCGAGAACTACATCTGTACGCTCCTCCGCCCTTGGGTGTAGTGTATTCTTGCTTGACAGGTGTTTAGTTCCTTCCAGGATGGACTCTACAGCTCGCATTACTCAGCAACAACAAACTCAGCAATCTACATTCTACAGTAGTCGTGCGCGCATCATATTTAGTCCACGGCAGGGACATGCTTTGTTCATGCTGAATCCGAGAGAGCAGCGGCAGGGACATGTTTTTGTTCATGCTGAATCGAGAGAAGCGGGGAAGAGAAGTCATGCGCGCATTCATCTCAGAAGGAAAGGAGCTGCTGTAGTGCGTAGATTTGACGCCGGCCGAGTGAAACGCACGTGCTTCGGCAAGCGGGAGGGACAGGCACTCCTACTCAATTCGTACAAGAGCCCATCATCATGCAGAGCGACGCGACGTGCATTTAGTAGCGCATGGCGCCACCAGGATACCGATTCAATTACGGAGAGAGGAAAGATGTTAGGAGGACAGCTGTTCTTAGAGAGCACATGCTACAGATTTTCGTAGCTTCTAGAAGCAAGAAAGCATGAGTACGTGTGTTCCTACTACGATCGAAAGGAGCGTGCTACCTCCGGATAACCAACGAACTGCTGCTGTTCTCACCTGGGTGCCACGAAGGCTTGGGCTCCGGCCACGCAGGCAGCGGCTACAACGCAGGACTTCATCTTGATGTGAGGTGGTGGTGTGGGAAGAGAGAGGTGTAGGTTGTTGTGGGCAGAAAACGGAGTGAACAAAGGAAGGGCGAGGCGTGGGCTGCCAAATGTGAGAGACAATGGTTGAGAGATCTTCGAGCCAGATGACATCAACCAAAGCTTGGCCAATCACAGGCCACGGGACTGTTGTTCACGAGACGAAGGGTACTGTAGTTTCGCCGCATTTTCGGATGTGCTGGGATACGGATCGTGCGCCCTGCACGTTGGCTTCGTGTATCTCTTGCGGAATTGGTTGTTGTCTTAAGCCGTTGGCCGTGGTGGACGTGGGGTTGGTTCTCTATGGCCACCCTCCTACTGCTGTGCGGTCAGCAGTGGAGCGTCCTGCTGTTGGTGAAAAGTCCGCCCTTTGGATCATCTCTGCAACCTCTATGTGTGACGTGTCGTCACCGCGTGGTCCATGTACGGCTGTCTAGGTCATTGATGACAACAGCGACATCTCTAGTGGCTGGGCACAGGTTCGATTCTGGCCGAAGCGTGGGTTGTCCGCGGTTTGCACCAACAGAGGGAGTGAGTGCGGAAAGCGCTTCTTGGTCCTATGGGAGAGTAATTATGTAAAAGTGCCGAACTTCTTCTCATACCTCGCAGATTAGGGCCGGAGCTCTTCGGCGAGAGAGGTAAAACTGCGGTAATAGTCTACTGCAGATAGTACTGCAATCACCGTGAAATGGTGACTGGGGTGACGAGAAAAAGAGAAGATAAGTGTATGGGCCGCAATCTCTCTCAGTTGATGTGTAGCGCCAACTGCGGCCGGCTCAGCGAGTCCCAATCATACAGTTGCCTACAGACTACTGGGTAATTCAGTACAGGGTGTCATGGAACAGCCACACAGCAGTAGTTGACGAGCTCAGATCTGCTGCTGGGGCTGTGATGTCGAGGGTTGTCGCTGGGTCCAAACTCTGTAACTCTGGATCCAAACGAAACACTCGCCACTGCTGCAGTACTCGGCATGTCGAGCCCCTACCAAGCCTGCGCGTGTATTTTTTATTGCCGGAGGGAGGGGGGAAGGAAGCGGTGCTTTTTGGACATCTCGAAACGGGTTTCGACAACAGATGTCTCGCCGCCGGCCCGTGATCACCTGTGAATTGTGGGATACTCGAATATATCCGGACTGGGTTCGTTCGGCACAATATATGACCCGCAGACCTCACCCGGAGCCACACTGCACGCTGACGGTAGCACGCCTACAACGAAGCCGCCGTTAAGGGGGGGAAGAACAGCGGTTTTGATGCTGGCTCTTTTCCCATACTTTAATCCTATACAAAGAAAGAAAACAGCCTTCCCGCCGGGGTTAGGTTAGGCATTCTATTGTCATCAGTAGAGGATACCATGAAGAGGCGTCGTGCGTGCTGGCACGTTCAGGGTTGCTACTGAAGCGGAAATATCGAAGGTCGCAGCGCCTTTGAAAACAGTCGCCGGAACCAAGCGGCATCCAACATTTGTCACAGCCATGCTCACCGCCACGGACCGTAAACCCCTGAACGGAGGGGTGTCAGCAGTAGCTAGTGGCATCAGCTACTGCTGTAAACCCGTAGCTCAGGAGATTGGGGTCGGTGACGGCGAGCATGGCTGTGACAAATGTTGGATGCCGCTTGGTTCCGGCGCAGATTTCGGCAAAGGCTGCTGCGACCTTCGATATTTCAGCTCCAGTAGCAAACCTGAACGTGCCAGCCCGCACGACGCCTCTTCATGATGTCCTCTACTGCTGACAATAGAATGCCTAACTTAGCCCTCAAAACTGACCTTATGTGAGCGCCTTCCGTTTTGGCTCTTTTGACTTGAATTTAGAATAGAGGGAATTTTTATCTTGATTTCAAAGGAAGCCTGTGGAGGTAGACGCGTGAAATGTTAATGTATGTTTTGAGCAGCCTCTACTGCCGCCCTGTGCGAGAATCAACGATTCTGTTTTTCGCGATGCCTCCCGACTGGTCTTGTATGTCTGTTGTACAATTTCTGGACCTCTTGCGTTTTTTTTTCAAAATTCGTCAACATCAAAATTGCTCTTCTTCCCCCCCTTAAATAAGGGTCTTTCACCATGGATGGATGAGGATGCCACCGTTGCGGCGTGGGTGCCGTTACATGTACTGGGTTAACCCGGACTGGGTTACTGGGTTGGTTCGGCGGGACAGATAATAACCCGCAGATCTCACCCCGCACCATCTTGCACGCAGGGATCTCCCTTGTCAATGACGGGTGACAAGTGCGGTCGTGGCAGCCCACTCGAGCACAACGTCGTATGTAGGCATAGACGAAGAAAAAATCCCTGTAGGCCCACATGACTTAGACCGGACCTTAAACCGACAGAAACAAGTGAACATACGTCGAACTCCGCAACCTAACGAAGAACCGGAAATATTGTTATTTGCCGTGCGAAACCATTCGCAGCAAGCGTAGGTTCCAATTTTTTTAAGATGAAAACTCCAAACTTACGACAATTCTAAAAACGAAAACGTAGAAATAACGAAACTACTATAGACTGCACGCAGACGCCCACGTTCTGCACAACAACTCGAACACCGCTGCCGACGCGCTAATCAAGTTCAAATGTGGTTTGCATCAAAGAAGGGCCACACACTCGAGATGGGCTTGCGGGCAAAACCATTGAAATTTCTCTCTCTGCTCTTGATGGGAAACAAGGCAAGTTAAGGACGTTCAGCGAGACGCTGACCGGACGCTTTCTTTCCCAAGACTGGAAGGTCAACGGATATACTCAAGAGAGGCATACCCCTGCCACCAACCGTGCGCGGTTGCAAGTGCCCTTCCGTCTATTTTTTGTGCATATATCGTCAATTGATTCCATACCACCCACCACCCACGTTCCACCGCCTCCCCCCACCACTCAGCGCCAACTTCCCGCCTCCATTCTATCGACGACGAAAACCAATCTGACCGGCCGCGCGATCTTTCCTAACTATGGGTACTCCCATCCAACCTTTTCCGCCGCTCCATCCCCGGCTTTCCCGACATTCTCCCCTCGCCCCGCCCCGTCCCCTCCCCGCTCTCGCCCTCTCTTGCTGCTCTCATCGTACCTCTATGTACCCCCCCCCCCCCCCCCCTTGGTCCCGCCTCCGTAGCTCCCCAAAGGTTTGTGGTCTACCCAAGACCGAAAATCCCCTTCTTCTTTCCGACATCGTCGGGGTTGAGCTTCTGCGCCTTCTGCGCCTTCTTCTTGTCGTCTGCCGCCTTCTTGGCCGCCGCCGCCGCCCTCTCCCCCGCCGGTGGCGGTTTCTTTCTGAAGGGGGGGGGAGGGGGGAAAAGGTGTGGTTGTTTTAAACCAAGAAAG